TCTATCTATCTATCTATCTATCTATCTATCTATCTCACTCATTCACACACACACACACACACACACACACACACACACACACACACTCTTTTCAGTTGATGAAAAGGCTTAACAACTTGGCAACTATTTCTGCAATCTATTTTTCATTTTATGAGCAGGTTCTTCCAGTTTCTCTGTGTAATGAATATTGTCACCCTGGATATTGGAAGAGAAAATCTGAAGAGAAAAGTTTCTGCTGCTACGACTGTGTTGCATGTCCACAGGGAAAGATTTCAACTGAGATAGGTCAGTTTTGAAGTCCTACAAATTATGAAAATATTGGGCTGCAAAAAGTTGTTTTCTCAAAAGTTATAATTTGTCATGGATATTTATGTCAAGTGCTTGGAAAATCAGGAGATTCAGGGAGTTCAAATGAGAATAAAGATGTATTGTAAGTTTAGCTCTCTACAAGAATCTGACCAACTAATGGTTAAGTGACAAGAAACAATAGATAGTGTGAAACTAATCAAGGAGAGATCCAACCTAGAATTAAGGACACATTTCCTAACAAAACAATTAACCAGTAGAATCACTTACCTCCAGAAGTTGTGGGTTCCAAGAAGAGGGCAGCTGTGGAGGGTTTGGAGCACCCACAAAAGAGATTAGATAACCAGTTGTCTGAAATGGTATAGGTTCTCCTGCTTGAGAAAGGTGTTGGACTAGAAGACCTCTAAGGTCCCTTCCAATTCTGCTATTCTGTTAATATAAGTATACAAAAAACTAATCGCAGAATCAATATCAATGTTCAAGCAATAGTATAAAACATTCATTGAAATGTGGTAAATCAGTGAGTTTCCATTTGATTTTTTTTATTCAGACACAGAAGATTGCATCAAATGTCCTGAGGATCAGTATCCAAGCAAAGTGCAAGATCAATGCCTTAACAAAACAATGAGTTTCCTGTCTTTTGAAGAACCTTTAGGAATCAGTCTGGCCTCAGCTGCTGTTTCCTTTTCCTTCATGACAGTCAGTGTGCTTGGAATTTTCCTTAAGCGTAGAGATACCCCCATTGCCAAGGCCAATAACCGGGACCTCACTTACACTCTCCTTATTGCCCTCTTACTGTGCTTTCTCTCTTCCTTGTTATTCCTTGGTCAGCCAGGGAAAGTAACCTGCCTTTTCCGGCAACCAGCATTCAGCATCATCTTCTCAGTTGCTGTTTCATGTGTGTTAGCTAAAACTATTACGGTGGTTGTAGCTTTCATGGCTACTAAACCAGGTTCTTCAATGAGAAAATGGGTGGGAAAAAGATTGGCTCTATCCATTGTCTTTTCTTGTTCTTTTCTTCAAGCAGTTCTTTGCATTATATGGTTGGCAACATCTCCTCCCTATCTTGAGTTAAATATGCAGTTCCTGATGGAAACTATGATTCTGCAATGCAATGAAGGTTCCATCTTCATGTTCTATTGTGTGCTGGGCTATCTGGGCTTCTTGGCCATCGCCAGCTTTATTGTGGCTTTTCTTGCCCGTAATTTACCTGATAGCTTTAATGAAGCCAAGTTCATCACCTTCAGCATGTTGGCTTTCTGCAGTGTGTGGATCTCTTTTGTTCCAACCTATCTGAGCACCCGAGGAAAAGCCATGGTAGCTGTGGAGATATTCTCCATCTTATCCTCCAGCGCTGGATTATTGGGATGCATCTTCTTCCCAAAATGCTTCATCATTGTGTTGAGGCCAGAACTAAATAGCAGGCACCAACTAATCAAACGAAACAATTAAATTATATTTACATCATTATTTATGAAGTAAAAGGGTAGGATTTAGCAAAGAAAAATTAAAGACTGTCCCTTTTCAATCTTCCTTCCAACTTTCAAAGCCAACATTTGTTTTATGTAGTTATAATCTCTCCTCCATTTCCTAAATTAGGTTTGTCCTCAGTTACTGAAGAAGTGATTCAACAATGTAATGAAGGTCATTCCAAAGGTCCTTTTTAAAGAGGCAATTGGACTGGACTTTCTGGTTTTTCTTTGAAGACATTTTGCTTCTGAAGAAAAACTGAAGAAGAAGCTGAAGAAGTTTCTTGGATGAGAAGCGAAATAGCTCCCCCCACCCACCCACCCAAAAATCAGAAAGTCCAGTTGCCTTTTGAAAAAGCACGTTTGGGACAAAAATGATCTGAATGACTGAGATTCTCTTTAGACCAGGGGTGTCAAACTGAAGGCCCGGGGACCAGATTTGGCCCGTGGAGTGCTTAGATCTGGCCCACAGGGCCACCCTGGAAACAGCAAAGGACTGGCCCACAGTGCCTCTGCCAGCTTGGGAGGGTTGCACATCGCTCTTCTGAGCTCCATTTTCAGTGGCAGGGGGTTGCTGGAGGTTGTGGCAGCTGAAAACAGAGTGTGGGATCCCATTTTCAATGGCAGAGACTACCACAGGCACCCCCGACCTGAGTAATTTAGAGCTGGCCATACTCACCTTGGCCCTCCAAGTCAAATAAAACCTGATGCAGCCCTCAAAGAAATTGAGTTTGACACCCCTGCCATAGACAGTTTTAAAGTTTTACTTTGTCCTGTCTATATAGGCCACATAGCTTTCCAAGGTTTATCATGACTTCATCTGCCTGTAAAATGTCTTCAAGCTTCAATGAAGCTAAGTTCATCCCCTTTAACATGTTGGTCTTTTGCAGTATGCATTTCCTCTGTGCCAATCTTTGTGAGCACAACCACAGCCTATGTGAGCAGAACCACAAAATATGGTGGCTGTGGAGATCTTTTTCACCTTGACCTCCAGTGCTGATTTATTTGTGTGTGTCTTTTTCCTTTAAATGCTTCCTCACTCTGCTGAGACTTGAAGTAAACAAGGTGTAATTAATAAAAATAATGATTAAATAATGCATTTTTCTCTGTGTATTGCCAGGTTCGAATATCATATGCTAGCCACGTAGAGTAATTGTGCCTTTAGTACAGGTCATTATAGAATGGAGAATGTATACATGTCATAACATTTCTGCAATATTAAACATAGACCTTCTTGCTATCTTATTTTATCTCCATGCTATCAAATAATTTTTTAATAAAAACATAAATTGTTGTTTCTTTTTGGTTCTTACCCCCAAATTTACTTTCTGCAGTGTCTTCTAATGTCTTTGAAGAGGACAAGTGATGCTTTTACCTTGTAAACAGTTGTGTGCAAACATTTGTCAAAAACTTCAAGGTTAAAGCATCCCTCAAATATCTTTCTGGCAGTGGTCAAAATCCTGAGTTTATTTTTGAAGTCCTGCAACTTTTTTCCACTAGTTTATAAATGAAAAAATAAAATCAGCAATAAAATTTATTTATTTATCAAACTTCTGAGACCATCTCACTCCAGGTGAATTTCTCCATGATGTACAAGTAAAAAACATAAAACACTGTATTGAATTTAATAATGTAAAAAATGCATTAAACATTTGATTAAAAGTTTGGAACTTGCCATATCATGGCTGATAATAGAATAGAATAGAATAGAATAGAATAGAATAGAATAGAAAACAGAGCTGGAAAGGACCTTGGAGGTCTTCTAGTCCAACCTCCTGCTGCTTAGGCAAACCTACACCATGTCACACAAATAGTTATCTAATCTCTTCTTAAAAACTTCCAGTGTTGGAGCATTTACAGCTTCTGGAGGCAAATTGTTCCATTGATTAATTGTTCTAACTGTCAGGAAATTTCTCCTTGGTTTTAAGTTACTTCTCTCCTTGATTAGTTTCCACCCTTTGCTTCTTGTCTTGCCTTCAGGTGCTTTGGAGTATAGCTTGACTCCCTCTTCTTTGTGGCAGCCCCCGAGATATTGGAATCCTGCTATCATGTTACCCCTAGTCCTTCTTTTCATCAGGCTAGACATACCCAGTTCCAGCAACCGTTCTTTATAGGTTTTAGCCTCTGGTCCAGAAATTACATTCAGCAGGTTCTGACCAGTTCTGACCAGAACTGGTAGTGGAAATTTTGAGTAGTTTGGAGAACCAGAAAATATACTTCTGACTGGCCCCACCCCGATCTATTCTCTCCCTCCTGAGTCCCAGCTAATTGGCTGGGTCTTCTTTTGTTGTCCTGCACAGGAGAACGGAGCTGGAAAGCAGGTTAGTGGGGTGGGGTGGGAATGGAGATTTTATAGTATCTTTCTCCTTCCATGCCCACCAAACCACACCCACAGAACCTCCTAACGTGGGTCTGTCATGAAGAGCAGGTGGAAGTATTGCTAGGAGGGCTTTTGCACAAGTTATTGTGCTGTGTATTATTTGAGCCCCTTCCTAGATTGGGAATCATTGCTCATGGTCACTTAAGCCCTAGTCAAACTCCCAAGTGGGCTACATGAGGCTGTCTTTGAAGAGTTTTCAGAAGCTTCACCAGGTGTACAATGCAATGGTGTGGATAGTTATGTGTGCTTCCAGAATGATGCATATTACATCTCTGTTCTGTGAGTTCCATTGGTTGCCAGTTGGCTGATGGATCCAATTCAATGTGCTGGTTTTGAACTTTTATGGTATAAGGCTGGGTTATTTATGGGACCATAGCCACCTGAGTTTTTCTGACAATCCCATAAGATTTGGAAGAAATCATCTATGTGTCTTGACTGTTTGGGGGGTGGGGGTGTCAAGTGTCTGAATGGTTAAGATGCTGGGCTTGTCATTTGGAAAGCCAGCAGCCCAAGTTCAACACCCCAGCTCCATGTGACCAGGTGAGCTCCTGTCCTCACCTAGCCTCTGCTAACTTAGCAGTTCAAAAGCATACAAATGCAAGTAGATAAATAGGTATCTCTTCTTTTACCTCTTTTACCTGTCTGTTTGGGAGTAACACATGGATTAACGTAAGAGGAAGGTCTTTTCTGGTATGGTGTCAGTCAGTCTTTTCTGGTATGGCATTTTGTCAGAGTGCCAGGCTTCTAGAAATTCCAGAAATATCATTTTTGGACATGGCTTAGTCTAGGATGGTCACAATTTCTCAATTGAAACTAAGATTAAGTCTGGTCATATGTTGTGAAATTAAAAAATATTATATATATATTAAAAAACATATCAACATTTTTTCAATTGGCTTAGGTTTGCTGAAAGAAAGTCTAAACGTCAACTGATAACCCTGGTGACAGATAATGGTACGGAATTTATTAATAACAAATTCCAGAACAGACTTAAAGTAGCTGGAATAGAGCATAAAAAGTCTGCTCCATACAGGCCAGAACATAACGCTTTTATTGAAAGAAGAGGCCAAACACTACAGGCAATGGTTAGAACAATGTTAAATGATTCTGGGTTACCTGATTCTTTGTGGGGGGAGGCTACAATGTGTGCTAATAACATATTGAACAACGTTGTTAATACAACAACAGGTGAAATACCATTCACCAGGTGGCATGGCAGGAAACCTGATCTAAGTTACCTGCACACATTTGGTGCACCAGCATGGGTGCATATTCCTGCACAAATCAGAAAAAAAGGGCAACATAGAGCTAAAAGATTTTTCTTCGTTGGTTATCAGGCAAACCATAGGGCATATAGATTTTGGGAGAAAGGCACATCTAAAGTGTTATGTAGTGCTAGTGCCCAATTTCTAGAACATGAAGGATGGGAGAAATTAGAACAGGATGCCAATAAAGATGTAATTATTGAATCCTATAGAAATCCCATTAGTTATCCCTGTAACTTTAAAAATAAAGTAAAGAGACAAATACAGGATGAAATAGTGCCCATAAAGGAAGAAACAGATTCAATAGCTGAACAGGATGAGGAAGATGAACAGGTAGTAGTTCAACAAAGTCCTCCTGTAAGCCCTGTAATTCCCAGAAGAACTACACGTGTATCTAGACCGCCTGATAGGTACCAGGCTAACACAGTGTGCCAGATTAATCAAGTTCCTAATTCTGTTGAAGAAATTAAAAAGTATCCTAATAAGGAAAAAGAAAAATGGTATGCAGCAATGAATAAGGAACTGAATTCATTAAGTGATATGAAGGTGTTTGAAAATGCCAAATTACCTGTAGGAAAGAAATCCATTGGCTGCAAATGGATATTTAAGGTAAAAATAGATAAAGATGGTAATTTAATCCATAAGGCAAGGTTAGTAGCCCAAGGTTTTAGGCAGAATGCTAATGACTACGATGAGGTGTTTGCACCTAGTCTTAAGGCAGCAACCTTGAGGGCAGCTTTAGTGTGGGCAGCTAGTAAAAACTATATAGTTAACCATTTAGATGTGGAAACTGCTTACTTGCACGCCCCATTAAAACATATTATTTATATGAAAAAACCTGTTGGTATTAAAAGTGAAAATAAGGATAATAATGATTGTTGGTTGTTAAAGAAAAGCCTCTATGGTCTTAAACAATCAGGCTATGAATGGAACCAGTATATTGTAAAGGAACTAGAAAATATAGGATTTAAAGCTGGTTTAGCCGATCCATGTCTGTTTAAGAGGGAGACAAATGGGAAAGTATCATTATTATTACTATTCACAGATGATATTGCATTGATAACTGAAACTAATGATGAAGCAAATAAAATAATATCATCATTAGGAAAGAGAATAAAGATCAAGCAATTAGGGGAGATAAAGAAGTATCTCGGTTTGAATATAAAGAAAACACGGAAAGGTTTTAAGATATCTCAGGAAGATAAGATAAGCAAATTGCTAAAAGATTACAAGATGGAGCTTTGTAAGCCAGCTAAGACTCCAATGAGTCAGGAGTTTAGCAACACTGATGTACAAAGCCCTGAGTTTGATAAGGTGATTTATCAATCTTTAATTGGT